ATTTTCATGCACGTCCATTTGACATGCGACCATGCAAACACGCATTGCGGCGAACCAGAAGTGGCCGGGAAAGAGGGCAGGGCAGGGATGTAATGGGGTGTAAAGGGACAGGCCATGGTTATGTGCACTCTGCTGTCGCATATAATGACCCAAAATGCAACCTCCGCACAAATCGAGGTTTGCCTGTCTTGCTCTCCTTTCCTTTGGACCACATCAGTGAGATCATAATGTGAACAGCCCATGACCTCCATACACACTGCCTTGCCTTGCGTCCCAGAGAGGTTTCTTTGGTGTGCTAACACAGCAAAAACATGGGAGGCAGCAGTTACGAGTTACTGGTCTCTGCAGCCACAGCAGGCGCTGTGATTCTCCAGTGGTTTGACTTCACACCATGAGACACACTCCAGTGTCTCTCAAGACAGACAGATGCCAACAACAGAATTTCAGTCATCCTTACAATGGCCCTGCCTAACAGCTGTAAAGGTAAAGGGACCTCTGACCATTAGGGCCAGTCGTGACCGACTTTGGGGTTGCGGCGCTCATCTCGCTTTATTGGCCAAGGGAGCTGGCGTACAGCTTCTGGGTCATGTGGCCAGCATGACTAAGCCGCTTCTGGCAAACCAGAGCAGCGCACAGAAACACCGTTTACCTTCCCGCCGGAGCGGTACCTATTTATCTCCTTGCAGTTTGACGTGCTTTCAAACTGCTAGGTGGGCAGGAGCAGGGACTGAGCAATGGGAGCTCACCCCGTCACAGGGATTCGAACCGCCGACCTTCTGATCAGCAAGCCCTAGGCTCTGTGGTTTAACCCACAGCCCCACCCACGTCCCTTCCTAACAGCTGTAAGGCAACTGAAAAAATTATTATCTAGGGAAGTTGTGGAATCTCCTTCCTGGGAGCTTTTCAGACATACACAAAATTTTGGGCAGATATATGCTGGCGGTTGGTGGTGCTTTAAGGTTCAAGACACTTTGTTTCGTGATCGAATCCTTTCCAGTTTTATACAGCCAAAAACTAAGATGAAGGCAGAAGAACCAATTTGAAACCCGAACTGCATTATCCAGAGTGTTGGGGTTATCTTCCAGCCAGCTGAAGTAGCCCCACCAGAAGGTCCACAGTCAATCTATATTGTAGCTTGACAGACAACCACATCTTCCTCTGGACCAAGTCCAGACCCACAAAAGGGGCGGGGTGGGAAGATGAGTGCAGGGGTTTGCCAACTGGCATCTAGCTCATGTGAGCGGTGGGCAGAGAGATACGGCTGGCAAAGAAGAATATGTGCTGGCAGAGAGCCTTCCTTTCACATCTCAGACAACGAGTGAGGAGGCACATTTCCCACTGAGGTCACCGTTCGGTCAGGGGGATACCAGTTTCTATAAACATGCTCACAAATAGCTACGCAGCGACTAAATTAGCCTGCTCACCAGTCAGCAGGCCCAACGGCAGCATATCTGCTTACTGAGGGAGAAGGGAGAGGGAAGGATTGCTTAAATTCTTCCAGGGAGGTTCCCTTGACAGAATTGCTGTTTTATAGGGTGGGAAGATTCCCCCCCCCCCCATCTTGAGGGTGCATTCCTTTAGGCATGGTGTTATGTGCTAAGCTTGGATCCTAGAACAATAGGCAAGTAGGATCCTAGAATGCAACAACCTATTGGCCTGCAAGAAAAGACCAATCAGGCTCCAGGAGGGAAGCAGAATCAGCCAATCAGACAGGACTCATTGTGTAAATAATGTATATAAAAGTGAAATATACTCGGAGTCGAGTGTGGATTTCATGCTCTTTATTTAGCTCATAATAGTGAGGAATGAAAGTTTCCCCAAAATATCTGCTTTATATACATTATTTACACAATGGGTCGCACGTGATTGGCTAATTCTGGGATTCTCCTGTAGGCCAATCAGGTTGCGGATTCACTTGCACCTGGAGCTGGATTGGGTGGCTCCTGCGGACCATTCATACTGCTGCATTGTTCTAGGACCAATCAGACTGCTGCATTCTGAATCCTATTGTTCTAGGACCAATCAGACTGCTGCCTTTTGGATCCTATTCAACTCAGTACATAACAAAAAGCCTGAGGTTTGGGGGACAATTCAATCACTGCAATACAAGCTGCAATAAAGAGCATGAAATCACTACAGGACTCCGAGTATATTTCACATAATCTGTTTCGGAGTGCTTGATGGCTGTGGGTGAGGCAGGGCCAGAGCCAAAAGTAGGCAGGGCTACTCATTTTCTCTCCCTTTCCTTTTTCTGCCTCCTCTTCTCTCTCTCTCTCTCTCTCTCTCTCTCTCTCTCCAACATAACATTTCCATCTCATCTCTGACACCCACATCCTTTATCACCTACTCTGTCTCCCTCTTTTCTCCTCACACATCAGGATGCCATAGGAAGGAATACGGGTTTGTGAGCAGACCCTAAACCGGGAGTGATCAGCAGCACCACACCTCGTTCCATCGCTCTCTCTTTTTGCTCACTAATGTGGGAGAAGACTAGATGAAAATGTAAGAAGAGCCCTGCTCTCCATCCTGTTTCCCACAGCATCCAATCAGACGCCTTTGGAGAGCCCACAGGCAGGGCTGGACCACCCTTTCCTGCTGCCACTGTTATTCTTCTTACATAAGAGCCCTTGGCCAGCCTGTTGGGTTGGGTCATTGGCCCGCATCCTGTTTTCACAGGGGCCAACCAGATGCCTGTGGAAAACCCACAAGACAGATGGGATTGCAGCAGTCCTCGCCACACATAACGTCTCTGACAGTGGAGACAGAACATAACCATGGTGGCTAGTAGCCACAGAGAGACCTGTCCTCTGTGAATTTGTCCAATCCCCTTCCAAAGCCATCCAAGTTGGTGGCCATCACTGCCTCTTGTGAGAAACTATGGAACTTCTGCTCATGTTCCACAGTTTGACTATGTGTGGCTTGCGGAAGTATTTTCTTTTATCTTCCAACATTCAGCTTCATTGGAGGCCCACAAATTCTAGAGGGAGGATTTGTCACTATCCACTGTCTTGCCAACATGCATAATTTTACAAACTTCTATGATGTCACCCCTTCCTCACTTTTTCTCTAAATTGAAAAGTCCCCAACACTGCAACTTTTCTTCATACAGGAGTTGCTTCAGCCTCTTGATCATTTTGGCTGCTCTGCTCAATCTGGCCCTGGCATAGTTATCATGGGCAATACCCACGGTTAGATTTCTCCAATCCCATCTGAAGGCACCTAAGCTCAAAAACATCTTGTGGCAGCCAATTCCATCAATTGATTGCTTTGTTGTCATCATCAATAAGTGCTTTCTTTTTTTTCTTTTTTAATAATTTTTATTAAAGTTTAAAACAACATAACACAAAAAAAGAACAGAAAAACTCACATAAAAATAATACAAAACTTAACAATAAAAACACAAAACACAACAATTAAAAACAAACTCTCTTTTCCATTTCCAATTTTACGTGACTTATTTTCTAGACTTCCTCAAACCTCCCTCCTTTGTATTCCAGTCCACATTGTTTGTTCAGCAATTTCTTTTCCACTTTTTTAATCCCAATCTTTAATTTAGTAAAATGTTAAAATATATAACTTCAATTTTTTAAACCTAGTCCTTGGTCTTAATATCATAAAACTTTAAAGTTTTCCCTTTTAATATCAAATTTCCATAACTTTAACCTGTGCAGCTGGAAACCACTTGTTTTCAGTCCAACATCACTCTAACATTCCTTAATTTTACAGTGTTTCTGAAGATAGTCTTTGAATTTCTTCCAGTCTTCCTCCATCGACTCTTCTCCCTGGTCACGGATTCTACCAGTCATTTCAGCCAGTTCCATATAGTCCATAAGTTTCATCTGCCATTCCTCCAGCGTGGGAAGTTCTTGTGTCTTCCAATACTTTGCGATGAGTATTCTTGCTGCTGTTGTTGCATACATAAAGAAAGTTCTATCCTTTTTTAACACCATTTGGCCAACTATACCCAGGAGAAAGGCCTCTGGTTTCTTAGGGAAGGTATACTTAAATACCTTTTTAAATTCATTGTATATCATTTCCCAGAAGACCTTAATCTTTGGGCACGTCCACCAAAGGTGAAAAAATGTACCTTCAATTTCTTTACATTTCCAGCATTTGTTATCGGGCAAGTGATAGATTTTCGCAAGCTTGACTGGGGTTATGTACCACCTGTATATCATTTTCATAATATTCTCTCTTAAGGCATTACATGCCGTAAATTTCATACCTGTGGTCCATAACTGTTCCCAGTCAGCAAACATAATGTTATGTCCTACGTCCTGTGCCCATTTAATCATAGCCGATTTTACCGTTTCATCTTGAGTATTCCATTTCAGCAGCAAGTTATACATTCTTGACAAATTCTTAGTATTGGGTTCTAACAATTCTGTTTCTAATTTTGATTTTTCCACCTGGAAGCCAATTTTCCTGTCCAATTTAAATGCCTCCATTATTTGATAATAATGAAGCCAGTCTCGCACTTTGTTTTTTAGCATCAATAAGTGCTTTCTTTTGGTCCAACCTGAATCTACTGCCTAGGAAACTGGCTTGTATCAGAAGAGACTACTTGTCCACCTGGCTCAGTATTGTCTATTCTGACTAGCAGTGGCTCTCCAAGGTAGCAGGTAAAGAGGTCTTTCATGTAAACCAGGAACTGGAAACTTAGGACCCTCCAGACATTGCTGGACTCCAGTTCCCACTAACCCCAATCAACATGGCCATTTATCAGGGATGATGGGAGTTGTAGTTCAACGATATCTGGAAGGATACAGTTTCTCCATCCCTGATATAATCTGTCCCCTGATCATTACTGTTAGCTGGCAATTATCATTAACTATTGTATTTTAATATTTTGTTGGAAGCCGCCCAGAGTGGCTGGGGAAACCCAGTCAGATGGGCAGGGTATAAAGTATTATTATTATTATTATTATTATTATTATTATATTATTATTATTATTATTATTATTATTATTATTATTATTATTTAACTTTCTTGTTTTAACTGGAGGTATCAGGGATTGAACCTGAGACCTTTTACATGCAAAGCATACAGTACTCTAATCACTGAGCTATGGCTCCTGCTGAGCCTAACTTGTTGGTTCAATATCAAGCTCAGCCCCATACCAGGAGGCCAATAACACCATGCCAGTTACTCTGGGACTGATGGTGATCCACCTATCTGAAGAACACAGGGAGTTCCTTATACTCACTCAGACCACTGGACCATCTAGCTCAGAATTGTCTACAATGAGTGGCAGAGGCTCTCCAGGATTTCAGACAAGGTTCTCCTCCAGTCCTACCTGGGATTGAACCTGGGACCTTCTGTTTGCAAAGCACACTTACTTTATGAGTAACTGATGGTTTCTTCATAGAGTTGGAAGGGACCATAGGGGTCATCTAACCCAACCCCCTGCAATGCAGGAAACTTTTGCCCAACTGGACCCTGAGATTAAGAGTTTCATGCTCTACCAACTGAGCTATCAAGTGTTGCTCTCAAGCCCAAGAGAATGGGGTCTAATATGCACAAGATCTAAGCCTCCCTTTTCACCGTCTCCAAAAGTTAAACGCTATGGCAGGAAAGTCAATCAGGTGGATTTAACTATTCTATAATTGGCAAATGTTTCAAACATGCTGGAATGGATTCTTAGACGGAAGAAGATGTGCTGTTATGAAAAGAGCGGGGAGAATAAATTCAGCCATCTCCAACACTGATATTTCATTTAATAGCTTTTCCCAGAACTGGTCTTTCTTGCCTATAGGAGATAATTTCCACAAAGCCATCTCGATTTACCCCACATCCCGAAGAAACCGAGCAAACGGGAGATGAATTGTTCAAGCTACCTTTTTCGAAATGTATTAGAAGTCATCTAGGTTGCTGAGCCGTGAGAGATGTGTGATAAAATTTAATAGTATGAAAATGGATCACATCTGTACCTCATTTTCCACTGCGGTAAATATTATATCTGCAGGTAGCAATTTAATGGCAATGGACATCTTATTTTTGTGCTCAAGGAAAGTGGGGGAAAGAACATCAAAAACTAGCTGGCACCTGCTGTGGTTAAGATAGCAGAAGGGGTGTGTGTGAAATTCTCCCATGAATATTATTTACCAGGGCTGCAGGCTTTAAAGTGCTAGCCGATGCATATTTATTCGGAAATGAGTCTTGCTGTGTTCAATTGGACTTGCTCCCAGGTATGTGAGCACAGAGCTGCAACCATGGTTAGTTAATAGTTAGATTAAAATTAAAAACCTTTCGGCTGAGGGGGGGGGGTGCCCCTGATTAGAATATTAGAATTACAGGGCTGGAAAAGGACTTCAGGGATCATCAGATCCTACCCCCTGCTAATGCAGAAATTCCTCTGCTACAACTTCCTTGATAAGTGGCCATCCAGCTTCTGCTGATACACCTCTAACAAAGATAAATGTTTTGCTCAATGGTACAGAAAGGTGAGGCTCAAAGGCAAGGTAGAACTGGTTCCTGGGATGTTGCTCCAGTAAGAACAACCTGGACAAGTAGGGAGTGCCCAGCTCTGCCTGAGTATTTTTAGAAACCCTAAAATATTGTCATTTTTAAACGGATATTGTGATTTGCCCCGCACAGAGCACCCAGCCGAGGGGGCACAAAGTAATAATAAGAGCCATAATGTGCCTGTATTTAAAGGGGTACCTATTGTAAGGGAGAGGGACGCGGGTGGCGTTGTGGGTTAAACCACAGAGCCTAGGACTTGCTGACCAAAAGTTCAGCGGTTCGAATCCCCACGACGGGGTGAGCTCCTGTTGCTTAGTCCCTGCTCCTGCCCACCTAGCAGTTCGAAAGCACATCAAAGTGCAAGTAGATAAATAGGTACCACTCCTGCGAGAAGGTAAACGGCATTTCCGTGCGCTGCTCTGGTTCGCCAGAAGCGGCTTAGTCATGCTGGCCACATGACCCGGAAGCTGTCTGTGAACGAACGCTGGTTCCCTCAGCCTATAGAGCAAGATGAGTGCCGCAACCCCAGAGTCGGCCATGACTGAACCTAATGGTCAGGGGTCCCTTTACCTTTACTGCGAAGGGGCAGATATGGCTCATCCACCTGGGAAGGTAGCCCATCTAGGAGAGGGAAAATTCTGATCCTAAACCTCGGCTGGAAAAGGCTAAGGAGTAACCCCCAGACAAATCCAGAGTGTTGTCCCTAAGACGGTTGGATGGCACCTTATACGGCTCCTTCCAGCAACTTTTGCAGCCAAGCTGCTGCCAAACATATTGCTCTGCTTTCCTTTGGACCACATCAGTGAAGCCAAGAGGGGGGTCTTGTTTTCTGGGCAGCCCAGGACCTTCATACACGCTGCTCAAGCCCACATCCCAGAGAGGTGACTCTGGTGCTACTAACACAGTAGTTTAACTTCACACCCAGAGGAGCCTCTTAAGAGAGACAGATGCCAACAACAAGTGAGATTTGTGAGTTTGGGTTCGTCATGCCAAAAATTGGACAGTCACACCAATGTCATGTTTTGAACCACCATCTTGATTCAAAATGGTACCTGGTGTCCAAACCTCAACCGGAGTTTGGCTATGGTATCTCAATGGTGGCCGAACTGATGCCCCCCAAATGGGTGTCATCCCACCAAAGTCACATCTTGGTCTTCCATCTTGATTCTAGTGCCCAGTGCATTCTGGGAATGTGCCAACATCCTCAGGTGGGTTTGGCACAGGTCTCACAGGTATATCTCAGAGCGCATGCCCTCCCCCTTCTACTTCAGAGTCCTCACCCTCACCTCCTGAAGATAAAGAATTCAACTCCAGGGTCATGTCAACGAGTCCACCATGTTCCAAAGCAGTTAGTTCCACACTTAATGTCATCATTGTTTTAAAAGGATATTGTCAAGTTGGAACATGTGCAGAGGAGGGCAACCAAAGGTCTGGAAACCAAGCCTGATGAGGGGCAGTTAAGGGAGCTGGGTATATTTAGCTTGGAGAAGAGAAGACTTGAGTGGTGATACGATAGCCATCTTCAAATATCTGAAGGGCTGTTGCATGGAAAATGGAGCAAGCCTGTTTTCTGCTGCTTCAGAGGGTAGAATCCATACCAACAGGTTCAAATTACAAGAAATGAGATTCTGAATAACGATTAGGAAGATCTTTCTGATGGTAAGAGCTGTTTGATAGAGGGATGGACTCCCTCAGAAGGTGGTAGACTCTCCTTAACTGGAGGTTTTTTAATGGAGGTTCAATGGCTATCTGTCAGGGATTCTTTACCTGCGAATCTTGCATTTCAGTAGATGTGGACTAGGTAACTCATGAAGGTCTAATCCAGGCATAGGCAAACTCGGCCTTCCAGATGTTTTGGGACTACAACTCCTATCATCCCTGACCACTGATCCTGTTAGCTAGGGATGATGGGAGTTGTAGTCCCAAAACATCTGGAGGGCCGAGTTTGAATGTGGCTGGTCTATTCCAATCCTACAATTCTACGATCTTGGTTTTCAAATAGATCAAATCTGTCTTCTCGCACACTCCACGGCATTCCGTCAATTACACAACAGCGGCAACTTAAGAAAAATCAGGTTTCATTGTTTCTCAACTGAGGCGGAGGGAGGCCAGGCACACAGCAGCTGTAGAAAGTGTGGAGTGATTCGTTAAGCATTTGGTTGGGATCAATAGCCATAGAAAAGGCCGTGAAATCAGTGGGGTTTCCATGGCTCCATAGCCAAGCATCAGAGAAGGTAAAGAGCTTGCCATGTGGCTCAGAACAGCATTTCTTGTGTTTACGGGAAGAATGAACCCTCATCTTGAATGGCATTAATGGACGTAATCCCTGCAGGCTCCATGGTACATATGAGAGCTGGTGTAGCATAGCAGCTAAGAGAGCGAGATGGAAATTCAGTGGTTAAGTTCAACCATGTTTTACATGTAGAAGGTCCTCAGGTTCAATCCCTGGCATGTCCAGGTTTAGCTGAGAGAGACCCCCGTCTGAAATCCTGAAGAGCTGCTGCCCCTCATGTGGATGAGCTAGTTGCACCAATGATCTCATCCAATACTGAGCTAGTTGCACCAATTATCTCATCCAATACAAGGTAGCTACCAAAAATCGCAATGTAAAAACAAAATGTCTTACAGCAGGGGTCAGCAAACTTTTTCTTTTCTTTTTTTTTTTAAATGATATTTATTGGGGAAAAAATTTTTTTTTAAGTTACAAAAAAAAACAAAGTAGAAAAAGAGAAAAACAAACCACTTCCAACAATACAAATACAAATTCAAAATAAGAAAGAACAGAAAAAAACAAAAATACACCACAAACATTTAAAAACATTTAAAAACAAATCCATTATTCTCAAATCCTCAACTGTCATTACCTTCTTTCTTTGACCTCCTCCTCCTCCCTTTTTTTGTATCCTAGTTGTTAATTATCACAGCAAATCCTTTCCATATTTCATAATATTCTGTCATTACATTACCTTAAACTATTTTAATCTTATCTTTCTATTAAAAAAAACCTTAAAACTTAAAACTTAAATCTTATCCTTACCAACTTCTCATAACCATAATATTCTTTCATAATTCTTTAAACATTTTTACTAAAGCCGAGTAATTTCATTCCAACATTTTTCTAACATTCATCAATTTTATAAAACAGTCCTAATAGTAAAAAAAGAAATAAAAACAAATCCAATCTTCATCCAGCGTCCCTTCCTCCTGGTCCCGGGTTTTGTCAGTCCTTATTATCCCATCGATCTAGCGCATTAACCTGGCAACCTTATATCCGAGGCCCTTAAGTCTCTTCCATGTCCCTTCCGCAGCTCTTCTTCATATTTGTAACTGTATTTTCCCTTGTCTCCTGCTCTTGGGAACTCCAGCTTAGCAATATTTTTGACCCTTCTCAACAGATCAGCCCCTTTTCCATATTCGACACTAAATTCCATGTGGTATTTAAAAACATGTTTCAAAAACCCTCCAAAATTAAGAGCCCCACAATCCCAAACATCTCACGGCCCATTGCCAGATTTGAAAAGTCCAAACATCCCTGCATAGGGGGGTCAATCCAGCCCCCCATTTCCAAGCCAAACCAAACTTTTTCTTTCCAAATCTGGCTTTTTCCAAGTTCATTTGTCAAATCCGAAAGCTCATATTCCTGTTGGGCCTGTTCTGTCAGGACACACTCCTGATTTAATTCCTGGGTGGGCTCCACATATTTTCCCACTGTCTGTTCAAAGTTTCCCACTGCCTGTTCAAAATTTCTAATCGAGTTCGCCATCAAATTCGTCTTCTCATGTAACTATTCCAGTAGGGCATTTGTTTTATAGAAAGCACACAACAGAGCTTCTGAATACATTGTCCTGCAAGGTCAAATGTCTGTTCCCACGATTGTAATCTATAACAGCTGCCGGCTCCCTGGAATTAGTTGCAGTTTCACAGTCCCCCTCTAGGGGGGAAACTTCTATTTGTTCTTGCAACAAAGTTTTCCTTTTTGAGATATTTTGTCAATATTTGTTCCTTTAAACTGC